TGCGCATGGCATGTCCCTCGTAAATCTGGATCCCCTTCACGATCATTATCATTCGTCTTCTGTTCTTGTCACGAACATACGAGGATTCGATTTGGATGGCCCAACTACCCGTCGACATCCTGATGGCTCGATCATGAGACCACCGCCAGGAGGATAGGGGTGTCCAGCACGCGCGGACAACTTCAACATGCACTCCCCATCGCACGTCAGGGACCCTAAACACTGCAGGCGGTACGACAAGGAGGATCATGGCTAGGAATGCCCAAGCTGCACGCAGAACTACGGTCAGGCTATACCTGATCACCTACGCACGCCTGGCAAATGCAAAGTTGCCAAGCCGTGGAAGCTGCCTGACAACCGCGGACAGGAGCCCCTCTGCCGAACGGGGAGCGCCACCACCTGCGGCGGCAGCTGCATCCGAGGCGCTAGCCGCCAGACAAACTGCGCGGCTACGAGCTCCGAGGCCCGGTTCCAGAGCTGGGCGAACAGCGGGCGCCAGCAGCCACGACATCACAGTAGGCAGACATGCCGCTGAACCGTCTGCGGGGCAACCTGCCTCGAGCGGAGCCGGTAGCTCGGACGATCACAGACGGCCACCGCCGATAGTGGCCAGACGAGGGCGACAGCAAGGAGGATATCCACCTCCATCACCGCCTGCGGGCGACCCTGCTGCTCGTCCAAGGCTTCCAGATCGGTCAATGCTCGATGTGCAAATTAGTCTACAGAACCTTCGCAGCCTTGACCCAAGCGCGGTAACGCGCGAGCTGCGAAAACTGTTCTCGCGGCGGTTCCACGCCAGAGAGCATAAGATGAGACTCATCTTAACCATGGCTAGTCTGTGCAGCGCCAGGCTGAGCCTGATGGAGAGCGTCTGTGATATATGTCGGGAGCGCAGGGCTCGGGACAAGCCAGGGCATACCGCCGCGCTGTCTACTGCACTATCTGGTAAGTTTTACGATGACGCCGAATACCATCTGATGTTCTACAAACAGGAGCACCCGATATTTCATATAACCGATCGTTGCACTCGGTACGGCGCTGAAATCGAGATACCGGATAGAACTATGACCAGCATATTAAATGCGTATCACCAGTGTTGGATGCAGTTCGCACCTGCCAAAGTACTTTACTCCGGCGGCGAAGGTGCATTCAACAACGACACTGCAAGGGCAGTCATTGAGGCAAAAGGCACTGAGCTGAGGATACGTGCGCGTGGACAACACGCCACGACAATTGAAGCCAGAAAAAGTAGACTACGACACTTACTTCGCGCCATGGAACATGAACTCAGCAGGTTAGACATACCTCTTATGTTCACACGTCTTCTGCTTGAAGGTTCATTTGCCGCCAACGCGATTACCTTTTACAATGAGGCGTCTCCATACAATGCATTGTTTGGACGGCAAGCAGCGACGCTACCCGACGCGCCTGTTCTGGGCCACGGACAGCAGACGGAAACGCCCGACCATTCTCGAGAGCAGACTATCCGCCGGGTAAGCATTGAGGCTACTATTCAAGCCATAGCAGTAGAGAGAACAAGTCGAGTTCGACGGACCAAGACGACTATCATTGATCAGCATTACTTTGACGAAGGAGATTTGGTTGACGATCATCGTCCCACTGCTACACAGGACGACTGGGGTGGCTGGAATGGTCCTTCACCAGTCGTGCGAAACGATCCCGACAGGGGTCAAGTCATCATGGGAGTGGAGGACCGCGATGTGCAAGTCCAATACGGCGACGCTCGACATTCCTTATATATAGAAGCTTTGATCGCTTGGGAACTTGGCTCGGACAACGCAGCAGCACGGACTGCGTTGACATTCGTAGCCAGTCTATTTGCGAGGCGACCTGCTATGACATCTGGGTACACCCCGACCAAAAGGAGAATGCTCCAGATGACAACTGCGAGGCGACTATATCCACACTTAGCTCTTCAATACCTCATCAGGAACTTCTTTCGCATCGAGAGCGTAGACTCTGTCAGGCTAGGTAAGAGTATCCACAAGCTACCTCTGGTGGCGTATGCTGACAGTTGTACATTGGTGCAGTTCCACTACTGCGAAGCCGAAGGCAATGCCCTAAACATATACGACATAACTGGATCAGCAGCACATTGCAGGATCATCCAGTGCCTGAAGTCCACCGAACATCCTGCGGTCTCCGACCAAGATACGACAAAATATGAAGAACGGGCTGACGCACCGACGCGCGGCAACAACGCCAGAGAAGCTCCGGAAGCCGAACCACCACAGGAAGACGGACGGCCTCCAACGTTTCACGAGGAATCAGATTCGGACCTCGAGGCACATCTTATGGAGGTGCGGCGCACGGAACTGCAGGAAGGAGGAGAATTATTGGAGGCAGCTCCAATATGCAGAACGCAGCTTAACTGCAGACATGTCAACAGTAATCATGTCCGAACGACATCACATAATACTGGAGTTCCAGCGTGCGACCACTGCGCGAGTCTATGCGACCGCTGCAGCTAAACGAGTTGCAGTCGCCAAGGAGAACGACCTCCTCACGAAGGCCGGCATCCAGGCGAATCCATTAAAACGCATCGAAGGCCCTGCAGATTGAACTCAAGACATGGTCTGACAACAAGCGCTGCAACATACCAGATAGATCGCAGGCGTCAAACATCATGATTTCGAGATACGCATACAAGTGGAAATGTGTCAAGAACGAGAAGGGCGAGATGGAACGCACCATCAGACTGCGCTCGGCACTTGGGGGGCCCATGGACCTCGAAGCCTTCGACGCGGAGACTTTCTCAGAAACTGCGCGGCGGTCGAGCCAGAGATTACCCGCAAGCATGGCAGCGTGCACGCAGAAACGGACCATTGTTTCCTCGACATCAACATGGCTTTCCTTCAAGGACTCGCATATCAGGAACTTGCTGAGGCAGCGGGTGAAAAGGAACGCGCGGCGTGCTTTGCACTGCCGCCCGGGTCAGCATCTGCGCCTAATCCTTTTCCGGGATGCGAGAACTACGATGAGTCGAAGCACTGCCTACAGCGCCTCAAACCAGGCACCGGCACCAACGGCGCACCAAGAGCCCCCTCACTGAAGCTCAGACAGACCACGAAAGGGTCTGGTTTCAAACCCACGCCGCACGACGAGGAGTTCGAGGAGTTCGAGACACGCTCGAACCTCCTTACAGCCAAGCATGTCGATGACATTAGCATGGCCAGCACTGAGGACGCCATCGACAGGTGCGCCAAGCGCGTTGAGGATATGTTTGGCGAATGCAAGCTTAACAAACACACCTGCCAATTGCGCTGCGAGGCGCGCAAAGGTTGGACGGCGACGTTACACTTGACCAAGACGAATATATAAAACAGCGCCGTCCTACACAACATCTTGAACTCGCCGGCGCAGACGCTGGCGCCAAGGCATCAAAGACGGTCACTGACATATTCGTCAGCCTCAGAGGCGCCCTGGCTTACGCCCTAATCGCAGGCGGGGTGAATGGTAGATGTTGCATCTCCACAGCGCGCCCAGGAACCGACCAACGTGCAAGTGCGACGACTGGCCGCGATTACTAGAAAGTTGCAGGCTTGCCTTAGAAAAGTCGTCTATCAGGCGATGACTCCAACGGGCGAGGTCGACCTGCGCAGCGACTCCGGCTACCGACGTCTAAGCGGACACGCCGAGGACGAGGCCCAAGGCCATGGCATTCGCGGGGCAAGCCTGCCACGGCGTGGACACACGCATGCTGGCAAGCCCGTCGCCCCTCTTGTTGACGCGCACTGCAAGTCTCACCGCTTGCAGGTCCGCTCGAGCTATTCTGCGGAAGCGCTTGCAGCGGCCCACAACTTGGAGGACTCCTATCCCACGATCGTCACTCTACACGAACTCCACGCAGGGCCGCTGACACCCACTCAGTTGAAAGATATACTGGAGCTGGGCGGCCTCAGAAGTAAGGTCACTTTAACAATGAATGCAGAATATGTCGTCACGTCCATGTCAAGTAAAGACCTGATGAAACCGACTGAATGTACATTTTTGGGACACATCTGTTGGATACGACAGATGATGGAGCGAGGTATCGCGCAGCGCGCTCAGTGGTTTGGCACTCCCGACATGACCGCGGACCGCCACCAAAGGGAGCATCGACAGAGACATGCTCCTACAGGTGATGGGAGGAACGCAATCCTTCAAGCATGATTTAAAAGAACACGCTCCATACAGGACTGGCCAGACAAGATCGTCTGAGCCGCCTGAGCAGCAATCGTATGCAAGGTGATTTGCCTGCGAGGCAACTTGCTTGCAAGGGTACTTGCGCGCGGGCCAACCTTCCTTGTTGAGCCCGCTTGCTGCTGCCTACCTTGTGTACATAGCGTTTTATTGTACAGCGGCAAGCGGTCTCACGCCTCGTCTCCCCCCCCCGACTGTAACGGAAGCTGGGGCAAAGGCGAGAGATTGCGAGCGTTTGTCCGCGGCCGTTTGTCCTCAAGCGGCCGGCCGCCAACCTACGACTGCGCCTCATTGCGAGGCACACTACTTACCACTTGGGGCCGAAAGCACTTTCGCTTTACATGGCTTGTCGCCCCCACGACGATCTCTTACTTCTGAGCCTATCGCTACTACGGCACAACAGAGTTGGAATGGGCTTCGCCTTAGGCGAAGCTTCTGGTTGAGCCTTCCAACCCCCTTCAAACTGCAGGCGCCTCTCTCTCTCTGGCTCTCTGTCTGGCCCGCCCCCCGCAGGCTCTGTCGGCAGCGCGCCCCTCGGCGGTGGCGCAGCCGCCCCTCAGCCAAGGCCACCCACCCACCCCCTGGCGCAGGAGCCAGGCGACCTCGAGGCTCACGGTTTTTGGACGCTTTCGTTGGCTCCTCGGGTTGTTTTGCTTGGGGAGGCGTCTCAGCCAGCGGTTGCGCCTCACCGAGGGCGGTTTGGGGGTGCCCGGATCGTCCAGAACGGTCGCCGGAGGCACTGGTCATGGCCCGAAAACCACCAAGGAGCCTCCCACCCCCTCCCACCCGCGGCGCAGGAGCAACGGCCGATGTGGGAGGCGTGAGGCGGTCCGCGGCGATCCCGGGCGCGCAAGTAAAGGCGCGCGGTTGCGCGGCCACTGGCCATGGGCACCGTACCCGTCCTCGTCTTCGTTCTCAATTATCCTCCTCCTCCTCCTCCTCCTCCTCCTCCTCCTCCTCCTCCTCCTCCTCCTCCTCCTCCTCCTCCTCCTCCCCTCCTCCCTCATCCTCCTCCTTCTCCGCCTCCTCCTCCTCTTGTTCCTCCTCCTCCTTCTCCTCGTTCTCCTCCCCGTCCTCCTCCACCTCCTCCTGCTCGTCCTCCTCCTGCTCCTCTTCCTCCTCCTCCATGTCCTCCTCCTCGTCCTTATCGTCCTTCTCCTCTTCCTCCTCCTGCTCCTGCTCATCCTCCTCTCCTTCCTCCCCTTCCTCCTTCTCCTCCTCTTCCTCCTCCTGCTCCTGCTCCTCCTCCTCATTTTCCTCCTCCTGCTCCTGCTCCTCCTCCTCCTCCTCTTCCTCCTCCTCCTCCTCTTATTCCTCCTCCTCGTCCTCCTCCTCCTCCTCCTTTCTACATCCCGGTACTAAGTCCGCGATACCAGCGACATCACATTGCTTGCAACAGCATTGGACAAGAAAAGGCCTGGAAGATATTTTTCGCAGCACTTCTCGATGACACTGTGAGGGAACTCTGAGGCGGCCACGGTCGCCCCGCGCAGGCCGTTGGCCAGCCCGTCCTCTCCTGGGGATGTTTCGTTCAGTGTTCGTCCGTTCCTCCTCCCCCTCCCCCACTCCCTCCCCCCTCCTCCCCTCCTCCTCCTCCTCCTCCTCTCCTCCTCCCTCCTCCTCCTCCTCCTCCTCCTCCTCCTCCTCCTCATCATCATCATCATCATCATCATCATCATCATCATCCTACTACTCCTATCCTTATTCCTTATTAGAATAAAGTCTTACTCCCCCCTCTGGCCAGCCGATAGGGGCCCCATCCGAGCCCCCCCCCATCTTAATTTGAAAAAACAATACAAAGTCGTCGCGTTTCTCTCAACATGGCATTCCTTGTCGTCGACGATGGGAAATGCGTAGCAGGAATAGGACGCGGCGCATATCGCGCGCGGCCGTCAATCCAGGCCCTCCCATCGTGATTGTAACAAATCAGTACGAAGTCCCCGTTGTTTCTCTCAACATGGCCTGTCTTGTCCTCGACGATGCGAAATGCGTAGCAGGAATGGGACGCGGCGCACATCGCGCGCGGACATCTGGGGCAACCCCAAGCGGAAGGGGCCATCCTACCTGACAAAAACCATACAAAGTCTGCATGTTTCTTCTCAGTGGGGATTTGTTTTGTCGTCGGCTTTGCGAACTGCGTGGCAGGGCGAAATGTCGCTCTCGCTTCGGCGCCGCGCGCATGTTTTCTGAAAGTTGCGCTCCCGCCAAGGCGCGGCACACACTTTTCGCTCGCCAATTCGTCGAGCGCCTAGGGCCACCTGGGGCCTCCCAGGGTCTCCTGGGGCTTCCCGGGGCTTCCCCAGGGCCTCGTGGATCGTCCTGGAGCTTCCTGAGGCATCCTGGGGCTTCTTGGGATTCCCCGGGGCTTCCTGACATTTCCTAGGGCTTCCTGAAGCATCCTGGATTTACCTGGGGCTTCCTGGGCCCTCCTGAAGCCTCCTGGGGCTTCTAGGGGGTCGCTGGGGCTTCTCCTGAGGCCTCATGGGGCCTCCTGAGGCTTCCTGGGGCCTCCTCGGCTCGTGCTGAAATGCCAGCGCAGTCTTTGAGACGCGCCAGGGATTTCCCATCGGTAACCGCCATCGCAGCTGCATCAGCTGTGGCAAACCACCTTGCCGATCTGATTTCGGTCCCCAGTTTCGCCAGCATTGTTTCTTATGGTGTGGAAGGGCGGGTGGGAATGGGCATGCCATGCTTGACTCGCTCGAGCTGGCGAGCTTGACTCCTACTCCTACTCCTACTCCTCCTCTTCCTCCACCCCTTTTCCCTAGAAGTGCGTAACTCCTCCCTGTCGCGCCCCCAGACATGTCGGCAGGGCGGGCCATGCGTTTCACATGAAACGTCCTCACCATTTATGCATTGAAGTTTGATCTTCACAATAGTGTCAAGAATGCAGGGGGACCGTTTTCAAAGCGGAGCACTCGCTTGAGCGCCGCGCACATTGAGGTGTTCTCTGCGCTCATGGCCAGAATAAGAAGCCTGTGCAAGGGTCAGGATGGTCATCTTGCCTATTTCAAAGCTCGGGTATCGGTTAGGCCTCGTTGAACTTTATGGTAGTATGTTTGCACGTTCTTCTTATTCGCAAGAAGGTGCAAGGCAGTTCCTTTTTCAAAACGGTGTTCTCGCCCGAATGACAGCCCCATAGAGCGCTAGTCTTTAAATGGGGCGCGTATTGAAACGGAAAAGAAGGCGCGTAGGCACTTCTGAGAAGGGGACTTGGGACGGGAGGGTGTGTTGCAGCATCGTTGATGCATCGTCGGTTTACTCGGGCCCTCTTCCTTCGCCTCGGCCCGTCATCCTCCGTGGGCGGTGGTGATTACTTAACTGAACGCCCCCGAGGGGGCGGACACCGCCGCCCCACCATTCTTGGATCGTGGAATTCGTGGCATGGGGGAGCCAAGACGGCGCCAGAGAGGTATAGTGGTCCTCTTCGGGCTCTGTTGAAGCTTCTCGGGGCCTTCTTGGGGATCTCGTGGGCTCTTCGTGGGAGTTCTAGTGGGCTCCTGGGGCATGTTGCAGAGCATCTGTCACAGGAGCGGGGTGAACGATGGATACATGAGTTTGTGGCTCCTGGAGGGGGGCCCGGGGGCTCTCTGGGGGCACCCCAGGCGGCCGAAAAATGCGCCAGGAAGGCGCCCAGACGGTGATGTGTAATCGCGTCGCTCACTCCGCCGACCCACTTCGCATCACGGTGGCTGCATGGTGGTGCGCCCGTACCCATGGGGAACGGTGGGGCAGGCAGGACTGTCAGGCGATCGCAAACATGGATTAAGGGGGCGTGGATGCGAGGATTAGCGACGGGTGCCAGTTCCATGGGAAATCGCGGATTCCCGCCGCCCAGCGAGGCGGCACCGACCGCATTTTGGGGAGGGCACCTCCCCCGATCCATGATTGTGCGCCCCGAGACTGTCCTCGAGGAGATCCTTGGAGATGTGGCTCGCGCCCTGCTCAGGAGAATAGACTGCCCCAGTCTGTGGCAGTCTATCGGCGCACTCTGGCAGAGTGCGCCAAAATGGCTCAAGAGAGCTCCAGCAGACTTTCGAGACGTACCTCGGTTGTGGCTCGTAGTCCTCATGAATGTTTCTTGGGGTCTCTTCAGAGGGCTTCTTGGGGGCCTCTTGGGGCTTCCCTGGAGCCTGTTGGGGCTTCCCGGGGGCCTGTTTGGGGTCTTGGGAGCCTCTTTGGGGGCCTCTTGGGGCCTCTTGGGGGACGCTTGGGGGCCTTCGGGGGCTTCCTGGGCGCCTCTTGGTGCCGAGAATTCGACATGTCCCGGGTTCCCCCTCTGGGACCCCTCCTGGGGCCATCCTGGGTCCGTCTTGGAGGCCTCTTGGGCCGTCTTAGGGCCATCTTGAGCCATTTGGGGGCCCTTAGGGTGGCTTTTTGTGCCGGTTTGGAGCGATCCTGGGGCCTCTTGGGCCGTCCAGGGCGGTCGGCAGCTCAAAAAGGCTGTACCGCCCAAATCGTCCGAAAACCAATGCAAAATCAATATTTTTTCGTCGCCAGTGCCTTTCGACGTCCTCTTTGAACATTCCTGGAGTGTCTTGGGCGCTTCTTTGGCCTTAGGACCAACGTGGGCGTTCTTGGAACGCTCTTGGCCGGAGGCCGTGCGGCATGCCACCCTTTTGGCGCCTCATTGGTGCGCTCGGGTGGGCCCCGAGGCCGCGCCCGGGGGGTGCGGCATCTCTGATCCGACCATGCTAGGACCTTGCCGGGATTTTGCCGGGAGATGTTTCGTCCGCGGAACCCCCAGGGGCCACCGCGCGCGCGATTTAGAAGCATCACTCCATTATTACCAGAGATGTTCGCACGCCTCTGGCCCGTTGGGCCAACGAATTGTTTGTGGCTTCTACCGCAGAGATTCGCACATTCCCCGCCCCTCGCCTCTCCGTCCGCCTGCACAGGATCGAGGAGGGAGGAGGAGGATGGGAGTTGGAAGCGGAGGAGGAGGAGGAGGAGGAGGAGGAGGAGGAGGAGGAGGAGGAGGAGGAGGGGGAGGAGGAGGAGGAGGGGGAGGAGGACGGGAGACATTTGCTTGGCATACTTCTGCCACTGAAGGCGCGTTTCGAACCCCGGGCTATCAAAAGTCATGTCAGGATGGAGCAGACTTGCAAGGATGAGTGGGTTGGGGTCAGGGGGGACACGGAAAGCAAGTCCAAAGATCAAGGTGTTTGGTCATCGGGGGGCCTCCAGGGCCCGCTCGAGGACTCCAGCAGAGGAGGCCGACAATTCGAAAACATTCTCTCCAATGGGTAGCCGCTTCGAGCCTCGAGCCCCAGGGTCGTGAGAAGTCGGCTCGGGATGAAAGATGAAAAGCCGGCCCTGGGGAGGAGGTGGAGAGCTCCAGGTGCCAGTGAATCTGAACAAAATCGGCTCGTCGGTGGTTTGGTCTCCTCCTTGTTTCCTCCTCCTGCTCCTCCTCCATCTGGCTCCTCGCGGTCTCCCCATGTGATTGTCCTCCCTCCACATATTGCTGGGTAAATTTCTGACAACTTCAAGAAAATGTGGTTACGCTGGCGAAGGAACCAAACCATACGCAGTTGTGAGTACCGAACTTTTGAATATCGGCAGCAGTGGAGCTGTAAAGCTTCTAATACACGTGTGAGGGGTATGCCGAAGCGGGCCTGGGGGCGCATACGCGCCTTGCCGCTGAAACCTTCAGTATAATTGTTTCTAGGGCCACGAAACGTGTGAGACGGAATGGGCCTGGGGGGACGCATGCGGGCGCTGCCATTGGGGCCTTCGGCGGAACTCCTTGTGGGTCCTGGGGCACGAATCGTGTGAGGGGTGCACCAGAATGCTGCCCCTGGGGCCTTAGTTGGAGCTCCCTATGGGGCCACGAAGCGTGTGAGGGGTGTGCTGGACTGGGCCTGGGGACACGCGAGGGCCCCGCGCCGCCGCTGGACAGCGGCGCGAGGGCCCCGCGCCGCCAGGAGAGCCCGGCCCCTGCCAGCGGCGCCTGCGGCGCTAGCTGCTCTTCCGCCGCCGCGCCGGCGAGCCCGGGCAGCACTTGAGGCCCGCAGAGCGGTCGCGCTTCCGGCGCCGGCCGAAGCTGCGCGCGCCCTCCCCGCAGGCGCCGCGTGCGTGGCAGGCGCGCGCAGCGGCGCAGGGCCTGGGTTGGGTGGCGTGCTTGCGCTGCGGCGCTTCGGCGGCGCGGTGGGCGCACGGGCGGCGGCTCGGAGGCCTGGCGCGCCGCTTTGGAGGCGCGGCTCGGGCCCGGCGGAGGCCGCCGGACTGATTCGGTGCTCGGTGCGTGTCTTTTCACCCCCCCCCTTAGCCTCGGGGCGCCCTGTTAGCAAAAAAGCTTGTGCCGGAATGGGCGTGGGGGACGCGGGTCCTGGGGCCACGAATCGTGTGAGGGGTGCGCCAGAATGAGCCTGAGGACGCATGCGGGAGCTGCCCCTGGGGCCTTAGTTGGAGCTCCCTATGCGAGCAGTTGCGAAGCGTCCTGGCTGTCCTATAGGCCCATCAAAGGATGTTCTAAGAACCTTTTGTGGTCTGCACGAAATGTTCTTAGAACATGTCTGGCTGGGGCTGTCTTGTTTGAACACATCGGGTTTATGTTTCAAGAACAGTGTTTTCGTGATGAGCACATTCTTAGGTTCTAAGAACAATTTGTGGTAAGCCTATAGGAATGCCGGGACGGTCGGTGCTTGCTCAACCTATGAGGCCAAGAAGCGTTTGAGGGGTGTGCCGGAATGGGCGTGGGGACGCATGCGAACTGTGCCACTAGATCTTAGTTGGAGCTCCCTATGGGGCCACGAAGCGTGTGAAGGATGTGCCGTCAAGGGCTGGGGGACCGCATTGCCCACCCCTCCCCCGCCCCACCACGGCTATCTCTCCCTCCTTGCCCCTTAACTTCCCTTCCTTGATCGTAAACCCGCTGCAAGATTCAGACCCGTTTACCCCCGTCTTCATATGACGTACCTCTCTCATTCAACCTCCTCTTCATCATCCCTCCATCCATACCCTCCTTCAATCCTTCCCAGTATCCATCCTCCTTCGCCCCTCATCTCTCCTATCCCATTCCTCCTCCCTCCCCTCTCCATCCCTGCCTACATGGATCCAGTATCATTCCTCTACTATTTCTTCTCCATTCCCTGCTCTTCTCCTTGTCTCCTTCTCTCTCTCTCTCTCTCTCTCTCTCTCTCTTTCTTTAGATCTGTATATATATGATATGATATATATCCCTCCCTCTTCCTGTAGTCCTTCGAAATCCTGCTCTCACTCCAGCATAGATCCCTGCTTCGTGTCCCTTCTCCTCCGATACCCCTCATACATTATCCCATCCCTTCCCTCTCTCTCTCTCTATGTCTTATGTGTTCTACAACTGCTCTGCCATATCGGTGATATTCCCACTCATCCACATCATCTTCCTACAGCCTCCCTCCATCCCTGCCTTCGCCTCCTGCCCTTCCTCACCTCATTAATATCTCTTCATCCCTTCCCCACTTCCTACAGGCTCCCTGCATCCTTGCCTCTCTTTCCCCTCGCTCGTCTCTCTTCCCCCATCCCTCCCCCAATTCCCATGCCTCTTCTGTCCCCTTCTATCTCCGTCTCTCTATATTCCTCTCCCTCTGTCATCCCCTCCGCCCTATTTCTCTCACTCTCTCTCTCTCTCCCTCTTTCCTCTCTCCTCCCCCCCCTCCTACAGCCCTGCTCCGTCCGTGCCTCTTTTCCGGCTCCTCCGTCGCCCCATCATATAGGATATATGGCGTTCCCAACACGGCCTCACCTTCGGTGGACGTCTGCGGAAGCGGGTGGAAGTAACACGACGGCGGCTCTTCCGATGGCCGACGGGAGCCGGCGGAAGGCCGGCGGAAGTAAAGGCGAGTCGCCAAGACGTTTGGATTCAGGATTTCTGGAGGGGTTTGGGAGTCGACCACATATATATATATATATATATATATATATATATGCATATATGTATGAAAGAGCGTGTTCTACCGTTGCTGGCGGAAAACTGGGGGGGCGCACTCGGGGTTCCCAACCCCTCCCCCCCCCCCCCCTCGAAAACTGGGGAGGGGTCACTATCGGTTCGACCCCCCCCCCTCCTTTCGCCGCCGACAAACGATTCCCGCTCCTCGGGACAGTTGAACAATGGTGGGGATACTGGGACAGTGGGTGGTAAGAACGGTGGTGGTGAGGACAGTGGTGCGGGGACAGTGGGACAGTGGTGCGGACAGTGGTGGGGACGGTGGTGTTGAGGACAGTGGTTAGGGGACAGTGGGACAGTGGTGGGGACAGTGGGACAGTGGTGGGGACAGTAGTGGTGGGGACAGTGGTGAAGGCGGTGGTGAGGACAGTGGTGGGACAGTAGTACAGTGGGGGAAGTGGTGGGGACAGTGGGGACAGCGGGACAGTGATGGGGACAGTGGGGACGGTGGGACAGCACAGTGGGACAGCGGCGGGGACAGTGGGACAGTGGTGGGTACAGTGGGGACAGTGGGACAGTGGTGGGGACCGTGGGGAATGTGGGGAGAGTGGGACCGTGGTGGAACATTGGTGGGGAGAGTGGGAACAGTGAGACACTGGTGGGGGCAATGGTGGGGACAGCGGGGACAATGGTGGGAACAGTTGGGACAGTGGGACAGTGGTGGGGACGGTGGTGGTGGGGACAGTGGCGTGGAGACAGTGGTGTGGGGACAGTTGTGGGGACAGTGGAAATGTGGTGGAAACAGTGGGACAGTGGAGGGTACAGTGGTGGTGGGGACAATGGTGAGGGCGGTGGCGAGGACGGCGGTGGGACAATGGGACAGAGGTAAATTGGGGACAGTGGTGGGGACAGTGTGGACAGTGGTGGGAACAGCGGGACAGCTCAGTGGGACAGCGGCGGGGACAGTGGGACAGTGGGGACAGTGGGACAGTGGTTGGGGCCGTGGAGAAAGTGGGGAGAGTGGAACCGTGGTGGGAACAATGGTGGGGACAGTGGGGACAGTGCGACAGTGGTGGGGGCACTGGTGGGGACAGTGGGGACGGTAGTGGGAACAGTGGGGACAGAGGTGGTGAGGACAGTGGTGTTGGGGACAGCAGTGGGGGATATGGTGCGGACGGTGGTAGGGACCGGGGAGTCGTTCCTGGCGGTGAGCGTGGGGGGGGGAGGGGTTCGAACCGGTAGTGACCCCCCCCCGATTTTCGGGAGGGGGAGGGAGGGAGGGGGGTTCGAACCGTAAAGTGACCCCCCCAGGTTTTTTGGAGGGGGGGGAGGGTTTCGAACCGGTAGTGACCCCCTTCTAGTTTTCTGGGGCGGGGGGGGAGGCGGAGGGGTTCGAACCGGTAGAGACCCCCCTCCGGTTTTCCGGAGGGGGGGGGGTCGAACCGGTAGTGACCCACCCCGTTTTCCCGGAGGGGGGGGGGGTCGAATTGGTAGTGACCCCCCCCAGGTTTTCCGGACGGGGGGGGTTTAGGGGAGGGGGGGTTTTGCCGGGGAGTAGGGGGGGGGTCCAGCAGGGGGGGGATTTTCGGAGGGGGGGGAACCCCAGGTTCCAGAGGAATTTCCACACTAAAGCGGCGATGGACCTCGCTCTCTCTCTCTCTCTCTCTCTCTCTCTCTCTCTCTCTCTCTATATATATATGTATATGTATTTTCCGTCATTCCTCCATGTCTTGCTCCGCAGGCGGAGGTCCCTGGTGTTCCAGATGTCGCGGGAAGAATCTCTCGAAGACGAGTTGCCGGAGAGTTTTTGAGTCCCCCGGAGGCCTGCTTCGGGCCTTCAGGGGCCATCAGATCAAAGCACGGCCCGCGACGAGAAACCACCCCGGAGATGGGGTCGAGAGGGGGAGGAGGAGGAGGAGGAGGAGGAGGAGGAGGAGGAGGAGGAGGAGGAGGAGGAGGAGGAGGAGGAGGAGGAGGCGGAGTAGTTGATGGGGCCCACGTCGCAGAACGACACGACGCATACCGTCTGGATATCCTTCTCTTGCGTCTCCCCCCCTCTTGGCGAGGCCCGATCCCGAAGGCACCCCACGTGCCCTCTCCCCTTCTGCCTCCGGCATGTCGGCAGTCAGCACAGGCCTGCTTGCATGGCCCAGAAGGCAGCACAGACACTGCGGGCACGCTGGTCTAAAAATCGTTGGTCTAGGATTCCTGCTTCTGTTGGCGTCTCCTCTTCTCATCGCAGTTTTGTCTCTCCAAGTCTTTCTACCCATACCAGTTATCGAGCTCTCACATTCTCTGTATCGAGGCGGTTGCTATGAAGGGGGAGTCGGAGCGTGAGGAGGAAGAGTAGAAGACGGGAGAAATAGAGAGAGAGAGAAGAGCACGGTTTTGCAATGACTCTTGGGGCGTCGTTGTGCCCCTTTGGAGCGCCATCGAGCTGATTGGGGGGTTATGAATCCGCCTTGGGCCGGAGAGCGTGGTACACTGAAAACCGCTTCAACAGATTGCATTGTACTCAAATGCCTGAAGTATTCTGGCGGTGTATGGGGAGGCCCTACGCTTCTGGGGGATTTCCTGGACCGATCCTTCAGATGTGAGGCTATGGGTGCTGGCGGGCAGGCGCAAGCGGGTGTGAGTCTTCGCAGAGGTGGGGAGGCCCTGGGGGACGAGGCCTGGTTGGAGGTCGGGGGGGACGGCGGTGGGCGCTGCTTGCCCCCTCCTCGCCTGGAGCGGGCCGCGGGCGCGCAGCCGTGGCTTGGTCCACGAGGAGGAGGAGGAGGAGGAGGAGGAGGAGGAGGAGGAGGAGGAGGAGGAGGAGGAGGAGCAGCAGAAGCCATTGGCACCGTCGCGCGCTGCTTGCCCACCAGTTCTGCGCCCGCCCGCCCAGCCCGAGGTCACTGTTTCTGCCTCCTCCACCTCACTGGCACGTAACGGCAGCCCATGGGTGCAGCCTCGCGGAGTAATTACAGCGGGCAGTTTGACTCGGGCACGCAGCCTCAGATTGTGGGGCGGCAAGACCCAGTGAAGCCCTGGAAGGGTTCAGCCAACTGCTTCAGCAGCACCGGGCAGAGCGCGCGCGACCAGCGTTTCTTCAGGAGGCGCTTGGCGCGCTCTGACTGATGGTGAACGAACGGAGAAATAGCAAATCGTATGACGTGCTCGGTTGTCCGCGGACACGTTCCTTGCCGGCGCCGGACCCCTGGCTGTAGTCCGAAAAGGGTTGGGCCTATGTGGCCCCGTGACTCTTCAGCGAGGGCTTCTTTCGGCCCGTGCGCTGCCGCTTGTCGCAGGAGAGGCCCCGTGCTCAGAGCAGCGCTGAGGCGGATTGCCGTGGCTGCACTGCTCCGCTCGTCGTCCCTCGTCAGCGGCGTCGCCTCTCGCCGCCGCCGCCCATCGGCGCTGTCGTCGACCTACCAAGCCCCCGCGCCGAGGTGAGCGTCTGCCTTCAAGACTACACGGCAGGGTTCGGCGTAAGCGGTGTGATTGACTACGCACGCGGGGACTACAAGGCCGCGGCGGTTGCTTACTGCGCGCGGCGCATGGGGGGGATGGAGGCGGTAGCGTCTTTGACCGAGGTCTGAAAGAACGATCAAAGCCGTCCGTCGGCGGTCGAAAACCGGCGGCCCGTGCGGATGGCAAGCGTACCGTTGTCAGTGCGCGGGCTTTGGAAAATAATTCTTCACGTTTCTCGTATCCCCATTAGTCTCAATCCGGCCGCTGCTTTTTAGTTCTCCGCTGGAATTGATTGACGGCGTGCGGCTACTCCGCTTGCGTTCGCGAACAAAAAAAGTATCCCCACTAGCCCATTCAAAATCCCAGCCCAAGAGGGCCGACGAGAGCAGGGACAAAGAGGCACGTATAGTGAAACAAGCAAAACGCGCAACCCAGATGAACATAGAGATATTTGGGAGCAAGGGGGTGGCCTTGGAGGACCTCTTCGGGTCATTCCTGGGGCCCGCGTGGGGGCGAGGGAAGGCGAGGAGTAAGAAGAAGACGACGACGACTCCCACGACGACGAGGAAGAAAGGGAAAAGGAACACGATGAGGGCAAGGACGAGGACGAGGACGAGGAGAGGCGGAGGACAACGAGGACGAGGACGGAGCCCTCAAATCGCCTCTGGGAGCCCTCTTGAGACTCTTTTGGGGGATCTCGGGGTCCTCTTTGGGCTGTTTTGGGCCCTCTTGGAGGCCCTGGATGGCCTCTTGGGGCCACCTTTGAGGCTCTCGATCGAAGGAGGGGGGTCCCAAATTTGCCGTCCCCCCAGGGGCCATCGAAATGGCTTTTTGAGGCGCTCTTGGGCCGACCTTAGGCGCTCTTGGCGCCGTGCTTGGCCCCTCTTGGGCCTCCCTTGGGCCACCTTGAGGCCTCCAAAGCGCATCGGAAGCGAAAAGGCCAGAAGGCACAATTCATTGAATTTCCATCGGCGTTTGAAAGGGGAGTTCCGAGAGCACTTGGAACCGTCTTGTGGCCCTCCTCGGGCCTTGTTTGGAGGTATATCGGCAGCTATCTTGAAGCATCTTCGGCTATCTTGAGCCGCCTTGGATGCTGTCTTGGAGCATCGGAGGCCATCGTGGGCCACTTTAGGCGCTCTCACCCCTCCGCCCCCCCCGTCCAGACCCAGGGAGGGGGAGGAGGTAAGCCTCCCCGAAGGGAAGAGGGTTTTGGAAGAGGAACGACAGATATCGCCAGACCAATTGAGCCCAAAGGGCTTGTGGGATTGTGGGCACAACACCTGCCTGACTCGCGGATTCGCGCGCATCACAGATTATGATTCGCGCGCACCCCACACACACACACACACACACACACACACGGCCGAGTTCCGAGAGTGTGCGAAAGGGGAAGATTGGTTTAGGGGAGGACGTCTCGGCCTCTATCGGCGATGCATCGACAATTTGGAGTCACCCCCAGGTCCATCCCCTTCTGGTTTCCACCATCAAGGCACTCGTGCCTTGCGGCCGGGTCTGGATCTCTGGATCTCTTCCCCAGGGGGCGGCGCGACAGGGCGAAGATAAGCTCGTCTCGCTCCTCGTCGGGCGGGAAGCCAAAAGTCTGGTGACTTTGTAGCAAGGCCGACGACAGGGCCGAAGGCTCCCGAAGAGGAGGAGAACGAGGAAGGAGCGACGAGACGAGAGCAGAGGGCAAGGAGTGGCAAGGCGCGGGGCTGCTCATGGGCAGCTCCCGGAGATGGCCCAGGCTGGCCTCCACAGGCCCGCCGGGCAGTTTGGGGTGGTCTCCATGCCTCGATTTCGGGGCGCGAGGCGTTGCCGGAGGCGGCGCTGGGGATAATACCGCTTCGATGCTCGTCCCCGTCGCCCCCGTCGCCGCAGCCGCCGAGAAGCCAGGGAGGGGCGAGAAGGCAGAAGGAGGGCGTGCTGCCGCGCGCCGCGGCGCATCTGTGGGCCCCTACAGGGGCTCCTCGGGCCCGCACCGCGGTGCCGCAGTCGTTTCGGTTCCTCTGCGCGCACCGCCTCGCGCCGCCTGCCCCCTCCCCCCCCCCCCGCCTCGCGCCGACGGGAGAGCCACGGGGTGAGTCCCCTTCCTCCTCCTCCACCTCCTCCTCCTCCGCCTCCTCTTCCTCCTGCTCCTCATCATCCTCATCCTCATCCTCCTCTTCCTCCTCCTCCTCTTCCTCCTCATCCTCACTCGGATACAAGCACGCGCGCGCGCGCCCGCTGCCATTCTGGCTTACAGCGTGCACCCGACATACCATGCACTGCCACCATGCATTATGTTTCCCCCCTCGCCATCGGCCATTCGAGCACCGATGCACGGACTGCGCAGAGTCGACATGGACGCACAAACGCACTTCTCATCAATGCATTGGTACCACCCCCATTCCCCGATCAGCTTGTGGTCATGGCAGCTCCGCACTCCTCACGGGAATTCCCCCACAGCATTCATAGGCGCGATGATGGACACGCCTTCGCCTTCGACCGCAGGTGCCCCTACGGTTGCATCGTCGCTTGGGGTACAGATGGCCCGGTGCAGGGTAAAGCCGACCCAAAGAGGCAGCGATGTTTCGGCGCCTTCTCTACATGTACAACTTCCTTGCAGTGGCAGCGAGGCTCAGACTCTTGCGCTATGCCGCACGAGTGGGCCATTGGTTTGGTTCGGCTTGCGCGCGCGCGCCGAGCGAGTTGGTTAACCGAATTGTTCCAAAACTCGTTGGCCCCAGCCAAGAGCCCCAGCACGATTACAGCTTTCCCAAGTTTCAAGGTGGCGCCCGTCCCTACGGAGGCCCAAGGAGGAGGCACGCCATTGTGGCTGATTTGCTCGCCGTCGACCTGAGGAGGAGGCACGCCAGCTTGGTGCTATGGCGAACACATCATTGTCGCCATAGTTCGTTGGTGCCCCAGTTTCGGACCGCAGCCGGTCAAAAGTGCATACTGAAAGTTGAGCAGTCATTACGTCCAATTGCAGCTTTTACGACGGCTATACCACGTCCATTGCTCAGTGGGCTCGTCATCTCATCTGCACCGTTAACCAGTTTGGCAATTGCGAGTCTCCGTACATAGTACGCATCGTACTGTTAGTATTGCTATCATGTTTTATGTATTATGATTTGCGTGCTCCTCCAGGCAGACTCCGACGGCGACTTTACTACCATCTTCACGGGCCCTATTCTAGGGTAAGGCGTCCAGGCATGCCGTCGGTTCTGTGTATTGTCGTGCCGCGCGCTGCCCGGACGCGCTGTCAAAATTTTGTCCCCAAAGACCAGGGAAGTGGCCCCGCCGACGTGCTACACGACGGACGGCCATGACCACGACCACCCGTCAGCGCTACCACAGGGACGCAGCCCATTCACCCATTTAACAAGGTAGCAATGTCGGATACAGTTGACAGCAATTAGGGCGGATTTTTGCCATTAACTTGGTCACAAGACTTATGGCCCCACGCTCTTGCACATGCTGCGCGCCCTGGCGCTCGCACGCTAAATGCGCACAGTATGTAGCCTCAGTGTTGACACGTTTGTCGTGTCCTTGGTCGCGAGACTACGTTCACGCCTTTCATTCGGCCGTTTGGTCTAGGCACGCGGCCACACGGCAGCCTGTGCACCCTTTGACACGGCGGAAGTTCCGACAGAGAGGTGTGCACCGTCATTGGCGTTTGTCCGATAAGTGGCATTTGTCTTATCATTCAGGATTCGCTGGTGAGGAGCACGCCCGCGCATTGTCTGCACGGCGGTGTCAGCCTTGCGGTGCACGATACTTATAGTGCACTCATGTGTTGCTCAGCGTTTCTGGAGCATCGTCTACGCCCGTCAATACAGCTGCGCAATCGCGGTGTGCTATGCCTTGGCACTCCGATACGTTG